CTGCTCTATTATACTCTACTGCATTTTGGCTTTGTTTCATTGTTTGGGTATAAAATATTTTGGAAATAAAGAAAACGCGGCTGAATGAACAGTGCTTAGTCACATCGTACGGGGATTCAGACAACCACTAATGAGTAGCTAATATCATCCAATAGGATAAATTGTTTGGTATAGATAGATACTAAGTAAATAAGGAGTCCCTGCGGATTTTACTCTGCTACTCATTGCCGACTTTAGGGGCCGGTGCTCATCTTCATTTCAAGGCCATTGAGCTAGTGCTATCCAAAGACATTTCCATGGTCATGTGGCCAGCATGACATCACAAAGTGCTGCAACCTTCTCACCAAAGTGGTACCCATTTATCTATTCGCATTTGCATGTTTTCGAATTGCTTGGTTGGCTGGAGCTGAGGTGAGGATGGGAGCTCTTCCCATCGTATGGTGCTTGGATTTTGAAACTGGGCTGACCAGCTTTCCAGCCCAAAAGCCCAGCGTCTTAACCGCTCAGCCACCGCACCACCCCTTATAGATAGAAGTTGTCCCAAGGGATAATCTAAGCAAGCATGTTCACAACTATATCTTTGAAATTGTTCGTTCTGGAATGACACGCCCATGTGTCACACCAAGGTCAGTAACTTTTAAGGTAAGCTCTGGAAGGGTAAGATTGTTAGGGGAATGTATCTTGGTCCATCAAAATATATTCTGGTTTAGGTGAAAGGCATTTTAGTAGAAATAAGTCTATATAGTTTGAGATCGGGAAGAGCTATTCCCCAATTGTGAAATTGTTAAAGGAACAGGAAGGATTTACACTCAACAAGGGATATTTGGATTAGCTTAATATCTATGAGAGGATGTCCTCAAAAGCTTCTATCTACCAGACTTTTGGTGGCGCAATATTGGAAGAAGGAAGAACTACCTACTATTGAAGAATGGACATTAAAAGTAGCTAATTTGGCGGAGATGGCTAAAATCTCTGCATATTTGAAGGACCGTTCGAATGAAAGATATGTACTGGAATGGAGAAGATGGATTGACTATATACAAAACAAAGAGCCTTGGTAGTACAGTGGTCTAAGGCACCCTGTTATTAAGCTGGTTATTAAGACCAGCTCCCTGCAATTACTGCAGGTTCGAATCTCGCCAGGCTCAAGGTTGACTCAGCCTTCCATCCTTTCTAAGGTAGGTAAATTGAGGACCCATTTTGGGGGGGGGCAATAAGCTGACTTTGTATAAATATACAAAAGGATGAAGGCTATTGCTGAGCACATTGTAAGCTTCCCTGAGTCTCCGGAGAAGGGCGGCATATAAATCAAATTAAAAAAAAAAAAATATGGGACTAAAAAGTTGCAAATAGCTTATGAATGAAATATTTAGTTGATTTTTCTTTTTACTCTGACATTTTGGTACCTTTGCGGGAGATAAAGAGTAAGGGGGAGTTAAGAGCTTATAGTTAGTTTGTATATGTTAGATTTTGTTTGCTAAATGCAATACCCCGTATTTTGCTCTGGGAAGTCGGGGGGGGAGGGAGAAGGGAATGGGTGGGGGGTTGGAATGGGTTGTAAAACATTTTAAAACTTTTCAATAAAAAAAAAAGCTTCTATCTAGATTCTACATCCTTTAACTGATTGTAGAGGTGGAGAAGTAACTTGAAGGACCTTCAATTTTTCTGTAGCTAAGAACTTCAAATAGTATCCCTTAGGGACATCCGTGTTGTATCTCTTGGCTGCTTATAGCAAATGAACTTTTGTCATCTTCTCCTGGAGGTCTTCTCCTGGAGGTCCTAGAGAAAGAAGCATTTCTTTGAAGGACTCAGAAAGGGCTGCTATCTTCTTATCTCCACATGCTTACACTCACTGTTTAGTCTTTGAATCACAGCACAATCTGGGCATTTCATAGCAAAAGAGCCTTCAACTGAGGTTTGTTCAAGAAAAATAAATGGACACATGGATTCTGATGAGGTGCCTAGCTTATTCATTCCATACCAAGATCATTCTTTTTTTTTTTTTTTTTAGTACTGTTATTAATTCTTAGAAGGACTAAAATTTGTTTGCTTTTAGGGAGTCAATAAATTGAATGAACTTTTTTTTTTTTAAAAAAAAGACAAATGTGTAATCTATTATTATTTATTTATTTATTTGATTTTTTTCTTCGCCCGTCTTTATTACTTTATAAATAACTCACAGCGAAAGGGGTAGAGCCTTCTTTAAATGTATACAGTATTTTCTAAGATTTTTTTTTTCTATAATATTTGAAATGTATCCATGTCCTTTCAGTGGCTGTAAGATTCCGATTTCCCTTTGAAGATTTTGGAAGCTGAGGGAGAAATCCCTCTGATTCACATTTTCTAGGTGGATGTATTGAATTTAATCTAACGGAAAATATGTAGGAGAAGGAGTAGCAGAAGCTGGGTGTGGATTTAAAAGAGGGATCATCCTAGAATCCCTACATAGCCACAAGTGAGTTAAATCCTTCTTCTTCTTCTTCTTCTTCTTCTTCTTCTTCTTCTTCTTCTTCTTCTTCTTCTTCTTCTTCTTCTTCTTCTTCTTCTTCTTCTTCTTCTTCTTCTTCTTCTTTTTGATTTTTTTTTAAACAAAACTTAAAACAACCATCATCCATTACAATTACAGAAAGTGGGTCGATCGGTTGCAAATCTTTTGTGCTTAATCCCATATCCAAAATTCTCTTATTTGACAATTTATTATATCCCTTTGAATTATTATTCTCATTTACCAATTATTTAACAGTGGCTTCTCTCCCATAAAAAAACGCTTCATATATTTTATTATTATATTCATTTCATGTTTCATGTTTCATTTCCATGCTTTATTATCTAGCCATTGATAAAATAAATCCCATATCAAGTAATATTGTTTGTCTTCCTGTTCTCTAATTTCAAATGTCAATTTGCTCATTTCAGCACATTCCAAAATTTTCTTAATAACTTCTTCATCAGTAGGTAAAGTCCAATCCTTCTCGAGTGTCGTTGACCCTTATCTAACCCTAAACAGATTCTGACCATTAATTGAGAAGATTCCTGTGCATAGGTTTTTAGCAATAAATCAGTTTACAAGGACCTTTTTTTTTTTAATTTGATTTATATGCCGCCCGTCTCTGGAGACTCAGGGCGGCTTACAATGCGTTAAGCAATAGCCTTCATTCTTTTGTATATTTTATACAAAGTCAGCTTATTGTCCCCACAAACTGGGTCCTCATTTCACCTACCTTAGAAAAGATGGAAGGCTGAGTCAACCTTGAGCCTTGGAGAGATTCGAACCAGCAGAAATTGCAGGCAGCTGTGTTAATAACAGGGTGCACTAAACCACTGTACTATCAAGGCTCTTTCACATGAGGACCTGCATTTCTTTTCTGGATTTTATAAAACTGTTTTTCAGTTTACAAGAAATGCTTACAATTCTATAGCAGTTTGGGAAAATTGCTACAGTTGGTGTAAAAGGAAGCATTGCCTGCCTTCCAATAATTGAGCAAATGCTAATAGATCCAAAACTCTCACTTGAAAATTGCATCATAGAAGACAATGTGATTAGAAAAATTATGGAGTGTGCGGAAATGGATAAGGAGATACAAGAAAAAGATGAAATAGAATATTACTTAGTTTGGGGAAAATGGTATAAATGGTTGGAGGAGAAGGGGGGAACAAAGGAAAACTAAACAATAGTTAAATTAGGTGGAGGAATATGGAAACAAATGGGAAGATATAAAAACTGTGGAAATTAAATTAGGTACCTGTTTATGTTAAATGTAAATAAAAAAATTTAGATTAATAGAATATATTATAACAGTATATATATGATATACTAGAAATATATGTATAAAAGATATATTAAGATAAGAAAGAGAAAATGTATAAATATGGATTACTGATGCGAAGATGTTGAAAAGAAGAAGATGTAAATATCTGTTTTTGTTTGTTTTTAAAAAAACTAATAAAATTAGTTTTATTATATATATAGAATATATTATTATTATTAATATATATTAATATATTATTATATATATATAGAAAATTGCATCATAGGAAGTGAAATGAAAAGATGTTATGAAGCAGATTGTATTTTTATAGTACAGTACAGCCAACATCAAATGATAATCTGTTTTTTTTTCCTGCCCTTTGCTTTACTCTCATCATAATCCAATATTTCAGATATAGATTTGAGTTGGAAGTCTGATCTGTCATTCTTCCATACCCAATAAAATAATTTGTTGGAATTATTGTCTAAGTATTTTACTTTTTAAAAAAAGTCACATTTATGTCTGTAAAAGGCAAAAATGTTGGAGGACTTAATTTAGAAAAAGGACACATATGAGCATAGGAGGATAGCATATACAAATGTCGAACTGAGAAAGATTCCTGCACCCAACCCTTATAATACCAAAAAAACAGCCAAAGAATGAGGAGGGAAAATATCACATAAATGGATTAATATTCATCATTTTCTGTGATGAGACATTAGGCTGAAGAGGAATCACATGAATTAAAAAACAAGAGTCAATATCTACACTCAAGAACCAGTAGTTGGGCAGAAGTCAATCAATTAATAGCAAGAGTCAATGTCTACAGTACCAGTAGTAGGGCAGAAGTCAATCAATAATAGCAAGAGTCAATATCTACCTTCAAGAACCAATAGTTGGGCACAAGTCAATCAATTAATAGCAAGATTCAATATCTACACTCAAGAACCAATAGTTGGGCAGAAGTCAATCAATTAATAGCAAGAGTCAATGTCTACAGTACCAGGAGTAGGGCAGAAGTCAATCAATAATAGCAAGAGTCAATATCTACCTTCATGAACCAGTAGTTGGGCACAACTCAATCAATTAATAGTAAGACTCAATATCTACACTCAAGAACCAATAGTTGGGCAGAAGTCAATCAATTAATAGCAAGAGTCAATATCTACACTCATGAACCAATAGTTGGGCAGAAGACAACCAATTAACGGGGAATAAACCCAAGCTTATAACTTCTTCCTCCGCAGGTCAGTGTTAGAAGAATAATTCTGGGCCAATCCGAGCTGGGTTTGCATAAGGATGACACTTATGCTGCTTAAAGAGGAAGATGCTTATTCGAGAACATAAAAGACAGCATTCAAAGGTAGGCTACAATCTGAAGTCCTAAGATTGGGGTTATTTATAGTCAAAATTGCTCTTTGTGTTTTGAAGTGTTTATCTTTGGCAAATTCCTTCAATGTATTCTTTACCTGTCAACTTTGGGGTGTCCTCTTTGTGTCTGATTACTTATTCTTTGACATGAATGCTTAGTTTAGTTTAGTTTAGTTTAGTTTAGTTTGGTTTGGTTTAGTTTAGTTTAGTTTAGTTTAGTTTAGTTTAGTTTAGTTTAGTTTAGTTTAGTTTAGTGTCATTGCACCTCACACAACGAAACTAAATGCCATCTTCAGTGTACATTATAACTATAAAAATAAAACACAAACACCTTCACATTCTATACAATTGAATTGAAAACCCGATATTGCATTGATATTGCACTAATTAATATTGCCTATGGAGCTTCTCAGTCATCCAGGTCATGGTTGTCTCAAAGGTGCTTTTTCAGGAGGCAACTGGATTTTCTTTGGGACGTTGAAATGAATGCAATTTCAGCCTGATAATGCGATTGATGGATGGTTAAGCAATCTTTGCTTTATTGTTCTTTATCTGTGTCCTTTTAGCTGTTGACAGCTTCTGTTGTTGATTTGAGGAGTTCACGGGGAATGCACGAATAAACTGATTTCTAAATTGATTTTCTTCCCACCTCAGCTTCCCAATAAATATCCTGAATGGCTGGTCATACCAGCAATTTGGGATATTTGCCTAGTTTCAGATTCTTAAACAATGAAAGCTCACTTAATTCACCAAAGGGTTTTATGTCCGCAGATTGCTCACAACTAAGATAAGATGGAGAACCAAACCAAGACTGACGAGATCTTACTGCTAGGATTTACTGAAAGTCACCAGCCTGAGATGTTTCTATTTGTCCTTTGCTTGGTCATGTACCTGATGGCCATATCTGGAAACGTTCTGATTGTTATTATCACCCTTGTGGATCTCCACCTCAGGACCCCAATGTATTATTTCCTCAGGAATTACGCCATCTTGGAAATTGGATACACTTCAGCGGTCATTCCCAAAGCTTTGATCAATTTGGCATCGGGGAAGAAAACCATCTCTTACGCAGGGTGTATCAGCCAACTGTTTTTTTATTTCTTTTTGGGCACTACAGATTTTTTCCTTCTGACGGTGATGTCCTTCGACCGCTATGTGGCCATCTGCAATCCTTTAAGATACGCCACCATCATGAACCAATGGGTTTGCACTTGGATGGTGCTGATCTCTTGGATTGCAGGATTCATCTTGATTTTTGGCCAAACCATATGTTTTGCACAATTCCCCATCTGTGGCTCAAACATCATTGATCACTTTTTCTGTGACAGTAAACCACTGATGAAACTTCTCTGTGGGGATACGCGTCTCCTGAAGCTCGTTGGCTTCATCCTTTCTATTTTTTCACTTCTAGGGACTTTAGCGATCACCACAATATCCTACATGATAATCATTTCCACCATCCTTCGCATCCCAACGGCTGCAGGGAGGAAAAAGGCCTTCTCCACCTGCGCCTCCCACATCATTGTGGTCTCCATCACATATGGAAGCTGCATCTCTATGTATCTCATCCCTGAGGAAAGTGAAGGGAAAAATTTCAACAACGCAGTGGCCGTTCTCAACAATGTGGTTTGTCCCCTCATGACCCCGTTTGTCTACACTCTGAGGAACAAGCAGGTCAAAGATGCTTTGAAAGATGCCTTGGGATGCAAGAGGATAACTCATAAAATATGAGGAATGTCAACATATTTGAAAGAGGAAGACAAAAAAAGGAAATAATGAATGTGGTCAGAGTAAAAATAGATTGGTGATATCTGTTGAACCTGTGATTGATTGATTGATCAGGTGCCTATGTAACTGGTGGTGAGGGTAAGGGGGATTAAATGTTTTATATTGGAAGTTTTGGAACTAGTTCATTGCAAAATGTTTCTTAATTCATCCTTGCAATAAAACAGACCAAGCTTATCCAATGGTGTTTCCTGTCTTGTCTACCTCACAAGGTTGAAACCTATCTTGCAAATCTGAAATTACATGTTTCCTCCCCCCCACTTTCCGTTTACAGGTTAAGAAACTAGGGAGGGTCTCTTCTGAGCCTCTTGGCCCACCCACATTCCTGCTGAGCTAAATTTTACCCAATTGTTCGCTTGACCATGCCCTGTCTCCCAGGGTTTCCCATTTACTATTACACTTAGATAAACTTTAAAGGGGAAGGGGAAGGTTAAACAGAATTAATATTATTTTCCTTGAAGAGAGTGCTCATTACACGAATATTCTGACTTGAACATTGGGCCCTATCTCACAAAATGAAATTCAGTAGTAAAAAAAGTAAGGTTCTACATTTAGGCAGGTATAGTATAGATCAGGAGTCCCCAACCTTTCAGACCTCAGGGACCACTAAATTCATAATTTTAAATCTTGTGGACCACGAATATGATCAGCTTAATGATTGGCTGGTGGGTGTGGCTAGGTGGTCATGTGACTGGGTGGGCATGGCCAACTTGATGTCACTCACGTTGAGGGGCACCTCGCCGGCCTCTACTCGCCTCTCCCCTCCTAACTACTCCTCCCCTGCCTGCCCGGGCTCCTTAAGGCCCCAACAGGAAGCAGTTGTTGGAGCTAAGCAGCCACCACGAGAAAGAGTTGGCAAAACTGCTGGCTCAGTTCAAATTGGATCTGACCGAGATGGAGGCTCAGTGGAAGCACCTCACTGAGGACTATGAGCATAGGCTTTCCAAGCAGAGGAAAGACCTGTAGGAGTGCAAGGCCAGGTACTGGCGCCTGGAGGCTCAGTGGGCTGAGATGATCAGCCCATTCCAGGCCATGATACAGTCCCACTGGAACAAGGCCCTCCAGCTCTTCGCCACCAGTGGTGCTTCCCTCCAGGCTTTGTCCAAAGCCTCACACCAGGAGGCTGAAACAGACACCAAGTTGGAATTTCTGCCCCCCTCTTACCCACACAAGAAGACCCAGAAGGAGAAGTCTCTCTGCAGTAACACAAGTGTTCATTGCACGTATCCGGCCCAGGGGGCATAGTTTGAGGACCCCTGATTTAGTGCAATATAAAAAAATGCAAATAATTTTTCTGCGGACCACCAAAATTTTCTTGCAGACCACCAGTGGTCCAAGGACCACCAGTTGGTGTCCACTGGTATATTTTATTTATTTATTTATTTATTTATTTATTTATTTATTTATTTATTTCAATTTGTACCCGCCCTTCTCCTAGTGGACTCAGGGCGGTGCACAGCCAGAACTAAAACACATACCAATACAAAATTTAAAATTATTAAAAGAATTACATAACTTTGGCCCAAATTTAAAACAATTCAAATTAAAACCCATTAACAATTTAAAAAGCTAAAGAACTTAAACAAGACTAAAAAGGGGGGGGTTCACGCCAGCCCTGCTTGATGGAAAAGAAAAGTTTTCAGGGCACGGCGAAAGACCCGGAGATCCAATATCCTTCGTATCTCCGGGGGCAAATCGTTCCAGAGGGCAGGAGCTGCCACAGAGAAGGCCCTCCCCCTGGGGGTCACCAGCCGACATTGCCTGGCTGACGGCACCCTGAGGAGTCCCTCTCTGTGGGAGCGTACTGGTCAGTAGGAGGCTATCAGAGGCAGAAGGCGGTCTTGCAAATACCCAGGTCCGATGCCATGGAGCACTTTAAAGGTGGTGACCAACACCTTGAAGCGTACCCGGAAGACCACTGGAAGCCAATGCAGCTCAGGCAGGAGAGGTGTCACATGGGAGCGCCTCCTCGCTCCCATAATCCCCAGCACGGCTGCATTCTGCACCAGTTGGAGCCTCCGGGTGCTCCTCAAGGGGAGCCTCATGTAGAGAGCATTGTAGTAGTCCAGGTGGGAAGTGACGAGTGCCTGAGTGACTGTGTGTAAGGAGTCCCGATCCAGAAAGGGACGCAACTGGCAAATCAGGCGAGCCTGATTTGCAGCTCAATAGTAGTAACTGTGAGAGGGATCTTGGAGTCCTTAGTGGACAATCACTTAAATATGAGCCAGCAGTGTGCTTGCAGCTGTCAAAAAAGTCAACACAGTTCTAGGTTGCGTTAACAGAGGGATAGAATCAAGATCGCGTGAAGTGTTAGTACCACTTTATAATGCCTTTCTAAGACCACACTTGGAATACTGCATCCAGTTTTGGTAGTCCCAATGTAAAAAAGATGTGGAGACTCTAGAAAGAGTGCAAAGAAAAGCAACAAAGATGATTAGGGGACTGGAGGCTAAAACATATGAAGAACGGTTGCTGGAATTGGGCATGTCTAGTTTAATGAAAAGAAGGAAGGGGAGACATGATAGCAGTGTTCTAATATCTCAGGGGCTGCCACAAAGAAGACTGCTATCAGGGGATGCCCATTTTTGTTCCAAGGGGATGCAGGAGGTCAACTGATGCCTGTCACACCCCCAGGCCATGCCCACCATGGCCACACTCACCAAGCCAGTCATTAGGGCAGTGAACCGGTTCTTAAATTATTTGAATCCCACCACTGTGTATGCAGTGTCCTGGATTCATGGCATCACCATTTATGATTTTCCTAGCTGGCTTTCAACAAGCATAGTCAATGAGGAACATCAGATTAGTTTATCAGCCATGTGATGCATATAACAATCGTGGTGAGTCACACAATGACTGCAGGAAAATTTTTGTAAAAATTGGGTGCAACTGTGGTTGACTGTGGTTTGGATTCCCAGGAGGGAGGGGCTTATTTCAAGAGGGCAAAGAGGCAGAAAAGTTTGGCCAGCGGGAAGAGGGTTAAAACAGCTCCTCCGTAGCAGAGTATATCTGAAAAGTCAAGGTGGCACAGTGGTTAGAATACAGTACTACAGGCTACTTCTGCTGACTGACTGCTGGCTGCCAGCAGATCCAGCAGTTCGATTCTCACCTGTTCAAGGTTGACTCAGCCTTCCATCCTTCCGAAGTCAATAAAATGAGGAGCCAAGTTGTTGGGGTCAATATGCTGACACCGTAATCCACTTAAAGAGGGCTGTAAACCACTGTGAATTGGTTTATAAGTCTAAGTACTATTGCTATAGCTATAGTTATGAGGCTAGTTCAGTGATGGCGAAACTTTTTGCCATCACGTGCCAAAAGTGGAGGGAATGGGGGGGGTCGTGCACATGTGTGCCCACACCCATAATCCCCCGTGCATGTGCGTGTGACTCCCTCCCGCTCCCTCCGCTTTTGGCACGTGATGGCACAGTGGGCACGGTAGGCCCGTTTTTTACTCTCCCCAGACTCCAGAGCCTCTCTAGGAGCCTGGGGAGGGTGAAAACAGCCTCTCCTCTGGACGCCCTCCAGAGGCCAGAAATGGCCCATTTGCCAACTTCTGGTGGGACTGGAAGGCCCGTTTTTTGCTCCCCCCAAGCTCCAGAGCCTCTCTAGGAGCCTAGGGAGAGCAAAAACAGCCTCCTCCCCCTGGAGGCCCTCCGGAGGCCGGAAATGGCCTGTTTGCTGACTTTCGGTGGGACTGGAAGGCCCGTTTTTTGCTCTCCCCAAGCTCCAGAGCCTCTCTAAGAGCCTGTGGAGAGCAAAAACAGCCTCCTCCCCTGGAGGCCCTCCGGAGGCCGGAAATGGCCTGTTTGCTGACTTCCAGGTGGGCCCAAAAGGCCCAAAATTCAGCTGGGCTGGGCTGAGCTGAGTTGAGCTTGCGTGCCCACGAATATGGCTCTGTGTGCCACCTGTGGCACACGTGCCGTAGGTTCGCCATCACGGGACTAGTTGCTTTAGTCTGACAAGATTCTGTCTATAGTTAAAGAACAATAACAGAAAGGACTCAAGAGTAACTCTATGGGTTGTTCTTGGATTGGGGCCTGACAGTGACTAATTTACCAGCTGCTTCACTTAGAAATGGATGTTCTAATCCCAGTTGTGGTCATTAGTTGAGAATGCAACATGCAAATTCCAAAGCAGTGAGAATAAAACAAACCCATCGAGTTAAAAGTCAATTTAACCCCTTTAAGATGATAATTTTAATTTTAACCTTTAATACAGATTAACAGAGTTGGAAGGGACCTTGTAGGTCATTTAATCCAACCCACCACCCAAGCAGGAGATCCTACACCATTTCTGACAGATGACAGTCCAAGCTCTCCTTGAAAGCCTCCAGGGATGAAGCTCCCACAGCTTCCGAAGGCAACTTCTGTTCCACTGGTTGATTGTTCTCACTGTCAGAAAATTTATCCTGATTTCCAGGTTGAATCTCTCCTTGGTCAGTTTCCATCCATTATTCCTTGTCTGGCCTTCAGGTGCTTTAGAAAATAGATTGACCCCTTCCTCTCTGTGGCAGCCCCTCAAATATTGGAACCCTGCTATCATGTCTCCCCTGGTCCTTCTCTTCACTAGACTAGCCATGCCCAGTTCATGTTACAGTTCTTCATATGTTTTAGCCTCTAGTCCCCTAATCATCCTGGTTGCTCTCCTCTGCACTTTTTCTAGAGTCTCAACATCTTTTTTATAGCGTGGTGACCAAAACTGGATGAAGTACTCTAGGTGTGGTCTTACTAAGGCCTTATAGAGTGGTATTAGTACCTCCTTTGATCTTGATTTTATCCTTCTGTTAATGCAGTTTAGGATTGTGTTGGCTTTTTTGGCTGCCACTGCACACTACTGGCTCATATTTAGCTGGTTGTCCACTAAGACTCCAAGATCCCTCTCACAGTTACTGTTATTAAGCCTGGTTTCACCCTGTCTATCTGTATACTTTTGGTTTTTCTTACCTAAGTGTAAGACTTTACTTTTCTCTACATTGAATTTCATTTTGTTAGATAGGGCCCAGTGTTCAAGTCTGTCAAGATCCATCTGGATCCATCTAACCTTAAGGCTCGGGTAAAAGGAAAATTCCATTTGATGTGGTGGGGAAAATCTTATCACTAACTTTCATGAAGAGTTTGTGCAATACGAAAGCCAAGTCAAGACAGCAATTAGCTAGAGCACTTAAACTTATATACCACTTCATATACCACTTCAAATTTCTAGGTTCTACCATATTGCAAGATTGTTTGTTTGTTTATGTTTATTTGATTTGTATACCGCCCTACTCCCGAAGGACTCTTGTCTCCCAATCTTTCAATCTGCCCTACATAGAATGAAAGAGGTGTGTTTATATATGCATGCATACACCTACCCATACTCACTCATGCATGCAAATCTGGGATTGAAGTCTCCAGTTTTACTTATTCCATCTCAAATCTGCCCAACAAGGTTACATAAATGGAATTTATAATGGTGTGTCTTTATTTGTGCATGTACATACAGCTACCAAACCAAGGAATGACAACTGTTTATTTAGGGTATTTGCATGATTGTTGAACATTTGTGGAATTACATAACCGATCTTACTTAATAACAGAATAACAACAATAGGCAATAGCACATAGACGTACAGTATATACCACTTCACAGTGTATTACAGCCCTTTCTTAGGGTGGTTTACAGAATCAGTCTATTGCCTCCAACAATATGGGTCCTCCTTTTTCCAATCACAGAAGGATAGAAGTGTCAAGTTTCCAAAAGATGCCCTAATTAATTCATGAGCCATGATCCAAACTTCAAAGGAAATATATTCATTTATTGGGAGTACCATTCCGGCAATACTCGGATGTAGTTAGGACTGACCCTACGTAGATTTACGTTCCCCTATGACCCTGTCTCTCCCCTCCTCTCTGGCCATGTCATAAATCACATTCTCCAATTAACCACTTTGGCTGGCTGTGAAACCTAACACCCTCCTTCTGATTGCGGTCAGAAAGAATGTATGGAATTCACTTCAGTTCTCCTTCCCTCCTGCTCATGGCAACTTGAAAGCTTTGCAAGTTGACAAGAAGGCCGAGTCAACCTTGAGCAGGTCAGGATGAAACTGCTGGCAGTTGGCACAATTAGCCTGCAATACTGCATTCTAACTATTGCAGTATAATAGCTATATAGCTCTAAAATAGCCATAATAGCTCTAGAATAACATAATAAAAGAATTACAGGATGACAGGATGACACAGTTGGAAGGGACTTGGAGATCTTCTCGTCCAACCCAGTGGTGAAATTCATTTTTTTTTTACTGCCGGTTCTGTGGGTGTGGCTTGGTGGACGTGGTGTGACTTGATGGGCATGGCAGGGGAAGGATACATCAAAATCTCCATTCCCACCTCACTCCTGGGGGAAGGATATTGCAAAATCTCCATTCCCACCCCACTCTGGGGCCAGCCAGAGGTGGTATTTGCTGGTTCTCCGAGAAATTCCGCTACCAGTTCTCCAGAACCTGTCAGAACCTGCTGGATTTCACCCCTGGTCCAACCCCTTGCTCCGGCAGGAAACCCTGTTCCATTTCAAACGAATTGTCCTATCTCTACTCGTATGAGTTGGGGCAGTAAATTACCGTATTTTTCGGAGTATAAGGTGCACCGGAGTATAAAACGCACCTTAGTTTTTGGAGAGGAAAATAAAAAAAAAAGCTGATTGGTGGGTGGATCGGCCTCCTGGAATATCTCCAATCAGCTGTTTTCAGAGGTGAATTTTAGCAACAGGTTCGTTGGTTGTGAGCTCTGTGCCTTGCTTTTTTTTCCCTGCCTCTGAAACTTCTGAAACTCTGTTTCAGAAACTTTTTTTCTGCTTCTGAAAGCCTCCGAAACAGAGCTTCAAAAAAAAAAAAAGGCTTTTTTTCTGAGCTTCTTTCAGAGGCTTTTTTCTGAGCTTCTTTCAGAGGCTTTTTTCTGAGCTTCTTTCAGAGGCTTTTTTCTGAGCTTCTTTCAGAGGCTATTTTTCTGAGCTTCTTTCAGAGGCTATTTTTCTGAAGGACTATCTGTACTATGTTCAATCTCCTTTCTTTGGTATTGGTATGTAGATTAATCTCTTCTGATCTGTTGGTTATTGTGTCATTCTCCAGATTTGTTAACATAGTTTGATTAGAACCTTTACTGATTCTTCTTTTGTTGCTTGCCATATTATTTTAGTTAAAAGCCTTTCAGACGCTTTTTTTTCCTGAAGCTTCATTTCTGAGTCTTTTTTTCTGAAGCTTCTTTCAGAGGCTTCTTTCAGCCTCTGAAATCTATGTTTGCAAGGCTGGGTGGGGCTACATTCGGCGTATAAGACGCACCCAGATTTTTATCTTCTTTTTGGGGGGAAAAAGATGCATCTTATATGCTGAAAAATACAGTAGGTCCATTTAATATATTAGGATTTAATGGGTGCCCAGATGCAATGGCTAGATCTCCTCCTCCTCTCTTGACTTATTATTTTTTTAAATTTTGATCGACAAGCTCAGCATCTTAGCCACTGAGCCACCGCATCCCCTGCGAGAGTCTACTACACAGTTATCTATTACATACAAGTTTCTGTGTTTGTCAGCGTATGAATTCAAACATAGAGGTTAATATGAGATTTCTGAAAGACAAGGTGAATTTCTGGGTAACATATCTCAGTAATGTTTGCCTTCTTCAGAAGGGATATTGGGGAAATCTTTTGGATGTGAAGCTAGTTCATCTTCAGAACGATTCCAACTCTTTCCAATTCCAACATGCCGTTGTCCATTAAAAAAACCTCAGGGTTTTCAAGGAAATTCTCTTTCCACAACTCCCACTTTTGAAAAATCTCTCTTGACTCTTAAGATTTACGAGGGAAAGAAATAGATCAAGAAACACTATGACACTTAATATGTAACTTAACGTGAACACCAGAGGTGGACTTCAGGAGGTTTTGACCAGTTCTGGAGAACCGGTAGCGGAAATTTTGAGTAGTTTGGAGAACCGGTAGTAAAAATTCTGACTGGCCTCACCCCCATCTATTCTCTGCCTCCCAAGTCCCAGCTGATCGGGAGGAAATGGGGATTTTGCAGTAACCTTCCCCTGGATTGGGGAAGGAATGGGGATTTTACAGTATCCTTCCCCTGGAGTGGGGTGGTAATGGAGATTTTACAGTACTGCCCACCAAGCCCTGCCCACAGAACCAGTAGTAAAAATTTTTGAAACCCACCACTGATGAAGACCCTATTTTTTAGACTCTATTTTGTAGACCCTTCAGTACCTGAGAATATCAATGGATATTCCCTGAAATTAACAATTTCAACTACAGGGCTTTGGCAACAAGGAAATGCTACTTCAAACTACCAAATAACTTTGTCAGACTTTGAAATGAGAGACCAGATTCTACCAAGTCTACGAGGAACTGTATTGTCAGGTTTTCCTTGGACCGTTAATGATGCCTGCAACCTGTTTCAACAAACCTTTAAAGGCTTCCTGAATTTGTTGGTTTCTCAAGCTGAAGATGAAAGGAGTCAGTAAAGGAGAAACAATTGTGTTGAGAATGGCCAGTCTCTTGGCAAACTCCATTTGGTTCGTGTGGGTTGGGCTGATATAGAGGAAGAGGGAGCTCCCGTAGGCGATGGACACAACCATGAAATGAGAAGCACAAGTGGAAAACGCCTTCTTTCTCCCTGTAGCAGTTGGGATCTTCAAGATAGTTCTGATTATGTTGATGTAGGAAACCATGGAAATGAACAAAGTCCCGAACAGTAAAACAACAGCAAGCAAGGATACAAAAAATTCAAGAAGTCTGGTGTCCCCACACAGGAGATGCAACAATGGGGCACTGTCGCAGAAGAAATGGTCCAGGATGTTTGAGTCGCACATTGGAAACTGTAGGAAGACCGTAAATGGACCGATGTGAATGAGGAAGCTTCCAATCCAGCAACAGAAAACAAGCAAGGTACATAAATGCTTGTGCATGATGGATGGATAGCGCAAAGGGTTACAAATGGCCAGGTATCTATCATAGGACATAACCACAAAGAAGAAGACTTCGGTAGTGCCCAGATAGAAATACAGGAAGCACTGTATGATGCAACCAACATAGGAAATATTTTTATTGCCCATCAGCAAATGTGACAAGGTTTGAGGGGTAATAATAGTAGTGTAACCAATTTCCATAATGGAGAAATTCCAGAGGAAGAAATACATTGGGGTGTGTAGCCTACGGTCTATGTTAGCCAGGAGGATAATCATAAAATTTCCCATAATTGTCAGCAAGTAGGAAAAGAAAAGGATGACAAAGAACAGGAGCTGCAGTTTTCGAACATCCGTCAAACCAAGCAGTACGAACTCGCTGATTCTCGTTTCATTACTTTTCATGGTTGCCATAGAACTGGGATCGGGAAACTGATGAAGAAGAAAATTATTTTTCTTAACGTGAATACTGAGCTGAGTACATCTGCTTTGAAAATGTTGCTGGAACCAGAATTTTGCTGTCATTCAAACTCCTTAAAATCACCCCCACATCTCTGTTTTTTAAAAGGATGATTTTTCCCTATTTATACTATGAGAAGAATTCTACTTTCAAAGGGAAAACATTTTCTGCCGGCACTTTTCCCAAATTGTTACAGACTTTTAAACCTTCCTTAGTCAACACATAGTCTTAATTTTAAGAAGAAGAAAAATCACAACATTGCATAGCGAAGGATAACATTATCTAAGTGAAATTTTATGTAAATCCATAATAAAATGTGAACTAGAACTTTTTCTGACCAAGCCCCGAAATACTTTCTAAAAAAACCTCCTATTTTTTCATTCTTCTAAATGAGGGGTCCTCAAACTTGGCAGCTTTAAGACTGCAGGACTTCAACTCCCAGAATTCTCCAGCCAGCATAGCTTTAAGTCCATAAGTCTTAAAGCTGCCAAGTTTGAAGACCTCTCTTCTAAATGAACATGGGCATTTTCAAAAATTATAGACACAACTTTTTTAAAAAAATCCCTGTTTATATTCAAACAATTAAAGGGGATCAGGTCTGTAATATATTATTTTTCTCTCTTTATTTATTGATTTTCTATTAAATACATTTCTTAGTGCTTAATAAACATTGTGTTGTCTGAGTATTTGATTTGCTTAACAATACAAACTTACATTCTTAATCTCCACCCCTTTTTTTTGCAACCATTGGTAAAATAAGAATAAGAATAATTTTATTTCTATACCGCTCTTCTCCTGAAGGACTCAGGGTGGTGTACAGCCTATTAAAAGCACAAGACAAACATCAATTAAAATAATTTAAAATTATTAAATAATTCGGCTCAATTTAAAACCCCAGAAATTTAAAACACCCAATTTAAAATTATTATGTAGATAGCCCGGTCTGGCGGAACAACAGGGTCTTGAGTGCACAGCGAAATGCCCGGAGGTCGGAGATCTTACACACTTCCAGGGGCAGTTCATTCCACAGGGCTGGGGCTCCCACAGAGAAGGCCCTCCCCCTGGGTGTCGCCAGCCAACATAACTTGGCCGATGGCACCCTGAGAAGACCCTCTCTGTGGGAGCGAACTGGCCGGTGGGAGGCTATTGATGGCAGAAGTCGGTCTCGAAGGTACCCGGTCCTATGCCATGGAGCGCTTTAAAGGTGGTAACCAACACCTTGAATCGCACCTGGAAGATCACTGGGAGCCAGTGCAGCTCGTGCAGGAGGGGTGTCATGTGGGCACAACGAATTGCACCCATAACCAATAAAATAGATTCCATGTTTGATAATATTCTATGTCTTCTTTCAGTTTGATTTTCAATGTCAATCTATCCATTTCTGCACAATCTTCCTGTGGTCTGTATTATATTATTTTGTTTTCCTTACGTTACTTTACCAGTCCTTGTAAGTGAAGAAATCTTTACTTTCTGGGAATTTTTTACCATACACTCACCTTATCTATTGATTCTGGCTTGAAGCAGTAAAACGGGGAAAGATCTTCAGTAGGTTTGCACATGAAGCCCTCAGAAGCCATAAGTTCAGATGTTTCTCCCATCCAAACCTTAGCTGAAGCATCCTTAAAAGTTGGCATTAAATTGTAGTGTTGTGTATCCTGAAAAGTTTAAAGGCAAAGGCAAAAAAGGCTGTTGAAAGCATGGGAGGTCATCAAGATTGCATTTCTTTCTGACTCCTTAACAGAGTCAGCATCATGCATTCTCGAGCATCATGAAGGAGGAGCTGGAGAAGACAACCAAGAGAAGCTTCAGAAGGACATATTTGCTTTAGGCAGTTGCCTGATGACAGAATTGCTATGTTAATGCCCTCAAGAGATCCTATTTGTGATTCTTAGCTGGAAAATGTGCAGGTCCTTTGGGATATATTTCTATCTTCAGAATCACTAAAAGTTGTAGAACCCAATAAGAATTTTTGAAAACTCATTCCATCAATGAGCTCTTACGAAAGCTCTTAAGGTGAAGGTAAAGGTTCCCCTCACACATGTGTGCTAGTCATTCCTGACTCTAGGGGGCGGTGCTCATCTCAATTTCAAAGCTGAAGAGCCAGCACTGTCTGAAGACATCTCCATGGTCATGTGGCCAGCATGACTAAATGCTGAAGGTGTACGGAATGCTGTTACCTTCCCACCAAAGGTGGTCCCTATTTTTCTACTTGCATTTTTTATGTGCTTTCGAATTGCTAGGTTGGCAGAAGCTGGGTCAAGTAACGGGAGCTCACTCCACTAGACGCCACTAGGGATTCGAACCGCTGAACTGCCAACCTTCTGATCATCAAGCTCAGCGTCTTAGCCACTGAGCCACCACATCCCTTACTAAAGTGTAAATCTTCCTCTTCCTTGTTTTAAAAAGTCCTAGACGGGGAAATAGCCTCCCCTGACCTCAAAAAATTGTGAATATGGTTTTCTCATTGGCCCAATGTTCTTTTCATTACTGAACTTGGTGTCATCTTGCCTTTCAAAAACATATCCTGAAAATGATTTAGTTCTTTCGGTAGGATGGATATATCAACTCAGGGCAAATGATTTCAGATATACCTTGTATACCTTGATTTCAGATATACCTTGTATGTGGGAATATTTTTCGTAGTAATGTATATCCTATGGGGCAAGATGGAGATAGATGGCTAGCTAGATAGCTAATTAGCTAGATAGCCAGGTAGCTATCTAGATAGCTAGATAGGTAGATAGACAGACAGACAGACAGACAGATAGACAGACAGACAGACAGATATAACAGAGTAGCAGCGTAACAGAGTAACAAAGTTGGAGGGGACATTGGAGGTCTTCTAGTCCAACCCCCTGCGGAGGCAGGATATCCTAACAATAGAAAGAGAGACAGACAGACACAGACAGATGAGAGATAATTAGATGATAGATAGATAGATAGATAGATAGATAGATAGATAGATAGATGATCAATATTATTATATGCTTATAGTGATTGCTCAGTATAGATCCCCCTAACTGACATGATTTACTAACAATTGCTAATTTAATAATGTTTGCTTGCTTGCTTTTTCCCAGATATCTGGAAGCCACTGGATAGTCATCTGATAGTCAATAGATGTGGGGGAAATTGCCAGCTGCACTAGATGAAAGGGTAAAGAGAGGGCTGAGCTTGGAATCATTAAGCCACCATAAGCAGCATAGGACTGACCTTCCTATGAATCTATGAAGCCTTATCTGGCCACTCCCAGGGGAATGCAAGCAGTCTCTAGATATTCTTGTAACATAAGCAACCAATAATAAAATTTCAGTCTGAAGCTATTCTTAAGTGGTTCTGATTGCTTGAGCCTGGTATAAAGCATAGGGGCAGTGTAGTGTCATAGTTAGGGGAATGGATACAATTCAGAAAGTGTGCTGCCCCATTCACTCACTCACTCTCTCTCACACACACACATAAGTGTGGTTTAGAGAGATTATTAATGTTCCCCAGCAATTCCCTTCACCCACAAGAGCTCACTTGGCAAAAGACCTTCAGAGTCTCCAAAGTTCAGCAGGAACCACGAGAAACAAACACATACAGTCAGAAACCAAACATTATGTTCCCAGCAACACCTCCCTCTGCCTGACATGACAAATAGCTTTCCAGGGCACCCACCAATATGGATGGGGCCTTCTCCTGAGTAATTTGGCAGATCTCCATTGCTCTTGTCTTTTCTCTACCCTGGTTGCTCTCGGATCCACCATGGAAAGCAGCTCCTCCTCTTCACTGACCATCCACCCCAGCAAGCTGTCCCCTCTGTAATTCTCTTTTAGCCAGCTATTCAGAGTCATTAATTAACCCAGTTCCTGACGTCCCAGGAATGAGCTCATCCTCCTTTGAGCCGATCTCCAAGGAAGAATCTGAGGAGTCATCCAAGAGAGACATCACAGGAAGCTTTGAGTTCAAAATATCATTCATAGTTCAAATACACTAGGAGATTTAGGGGTAGGTGCTCTTTCTCTCTCTCCATGTATAACCACCCCCAGATTTTTTTTAAAATAAGTTGGAAGATTGTCTTGAACGATTGGCCATTGGAAGATGGCCAATGAGACGCAGAGAATTGGGGAACGGAAAGGGAAGGTTTGGGGTCAGGAAGTCAGTGTTGGCTATGACATGATCAGGGACAGATTGTCGTGCTAAATAAATGAAAGATTTCGTCAAAGACTATTTGTTTGGAAATGCAATTTATTTTATTTGAGACGACATCAAAAGCTGACATTGGTAAGGTCCCTGCATTGGTGGGTTAGGTGGTGAGACATTGCACTTTCCTTTCCAGGCGTCTGGCCTTGGAGCGATGAACTGATGTCTCGGGATGGCCCAATGTGTCAGTTACCCTCTTCCCAGCAGTTCCCTCCCCCCATAGTTTAAGGGCAGGCTGGCATCTAGCTGGCATCCTGGAGCTCAGGATTGGTGGAGCACAAACCGTGCTCTCCGCCTGCTCCATAGGTACAAGGTGAGCTGCGGAACAGAGGGGCCCTCAGCTGCAAGGTTGCCTGGCACTGTGGGCAGGGCTGGGGCTAGGAAGAGTGCACTGGAAATATCTCCTTGCAGCCGGAGAGACAGAACTCCCAGCCCTCGCTGGATCAGCTGATCCGTGGGCTGCGGTTAAGGGGCCCAGCAGCCATGATGTGACTGGGGAAAGGAAGGGCTGTCTCCTGTGCTGGCCACACCCACCCCCTTCACTAGGGCTTATTTTTGGGGTAGGGTGTATATTAGGCCCACCCCAAAAAATCAGGCTAGGACTTATTTTCAGAGTAGGTCGTATTTTCAGGGAAACACGGTATCTATGGTAGGAAGTTCTCAAAAGTTTCTCTCTGGATTCTATAGCCTTGAGGTGATTATAGTAGTGGAGAAGTAACTCAAGAGACTGCATTTCTTTCCTAAGAATGCCAAACAGAATCCATTAGGGACATCAATGTAGCATCTCTCCATTGCTTAAAGCAAATGCATCTTTTTTTCAGCTTCTCCTGGATGCCTTCTGCAGCTCTCAGGGAAGAAAAGCATTTCTTTGATGGCATCAAACCTGCTACCTGCATATCACACTCATATCCACCTTTTCATTTGTACATGTGAACTGCAGTACACTCTAGCATTTAACACTCTTGTTGATAGAGGTTTCAACTGATGTTTGGTGAAGAAAAACACATGGACACATGGATTCTGAGAACCCTATTGTTCCATATTTCTCTATTTTAGTAGTCCAAGACTGAAGAGAGATAAAATGTGAGTATATGTTATAATTTCCCAGAAGGGCAAAGATTTCTTAGCTTAGGAGGCCAATGAATTGCGTGAACTTTTTTTAGAAATAGGAATAGGAATATTGTTTATTGGCCAGGTGTAATGGGACACACAAGAAATTTGTCTCTGATGCGTAAACTCTCGGTGTACCTGCAAGCAACAAAGTGATAAGTCATAGATCATAAATTATAAGATATAAACAAGAAGTGATAAATGATGGGATACCAATACTAGAAGGTAGTGAGAAAGATGAGAAGATGAGAAAAAGGAGAAGATGAAAAGACAGTTGTCTGAAATGGTATAGGGTTTCCTGCTTGAGCAGAGAGTTGACTGGAGGACCCTGAAGGTCCCTTCCAGCTCAATTCTGATTGATTGATTGATTGATTGATTGATTGATTGATTGGATAAAAGCAATACAGCCCTACTACATGAGTAATAAAAATACTATTACATGGGTACATTAAAAAAAACATCTGGTGTAGTCTAGAATTAAAAGTGCTAGATTCTTCATTAATTATATGTAGTCTTTTATAAGATTTTACTATAAGATTTGAAACATAACCATGTCCTTTTAATGGTGCAAGATACAAATCCCATTTTGAAGGTGTTGGAAGCTGAAGTAGAAATAATTCCGTTTAACATTTTCTGGTGGGTTTATTTAATTTAGTTCATAACTGAATGGGAAATATTGCATTTCATTATTGGCATTTCTTTTCTGAATTTTGTAAAGCTGTTAGGTGCCTTTTATGCCTTCTAAGATCATTAAGTGGTTTATTTTCACTTTGTTTCTATACCATGTTATAGATTATCAGCCCATCAGATAGGGAAAATTATCTTGTGTAACCAGAGATGGAAGAGTCATTTTCAGGACACTATTAATTTAAAGAAATTGCATCACATCCAACTTCTGTTCTAAGAGCAGCGTTCTCAAGGCAGGTGTGCAGTTATTCAGTGGAATATTCATATTAAGTGGAATAATTATTTTCTTCTATTAAATTCCTGATCAGAGTTGTATCGTAACCATGAAAAGGAATGAATCGAGAATCAGTGAGTTCATACTTCTTGGTTTCACGGACATTCGGAAACTGCAGCTCCTGCTCTTCGTCATCCTTCTCTTTTCCTACTTATTGACCATTACAGGAAATTCTGTGATTATTATCCTGACTAACCTGGACCATCGTCTACAGACTCCGATGTATTTTTTCCTTTGGAATTTCTCCATTGTGGAAATTGGTTTCACCATGGCTGTCACCCCTCAAACCTTGTCCCATTTGCTGACGGGCCATAAAAATGTTCCCTACGTTGGTTGCATGATACAATCTTTCATGTATTTTCATCTGGGTACCACAGAGTTCTTCCTCTTAGCTGTCATGTCCTATGATAGATACCTGGCCATCTGTAATCCCTTACGCTACCCATCCATCATGCACAAGAGTTTATGCACCTTGCTGGTTTTCTGTTGCTGGATCGGAAGCTTCCTCCTCATCATCGGTCCCTCTGTGATATTCCTACAGCTTCCAATGTGCGACTCAAACATCCTGGACCATTTCTTCTGTGACAACACACCCTTGATCCAACTCTTATGTGGGGACACGAGATTTCTTGAACTTTTTGGGTTCGTCACTGCTGCGTTTTCTTTGCTGGGGACTTTGAGCATTTCAGTGGCTTCCTATATCAACATACTTAAAACCATCTTGACTATCCCATCTGGTACAGGGAGAAAGAAAGCTTTTTCCACCTGTGCCTCTCACTTCATTGTTGTGTCCATCACCTATGGGAGCTGCATCTTCCTTTATATCAGCCCATCCCAGGCAAGCAAAGTGGAGTTTGGCAAAATAGTGGCCATTCTCAACACGATTGTTTCTCCTTTGCTCAATCCTTTCATCTACAGCTTGAGAAACCAACAAGTTCAGGAAGCCTTGAAAGATCTGTTGAGAGAGGTTGTCATTTTTATTAAAGATCCAAGGAAAACCTGAACACACAGTTCCTTCTGAACTTGGTATAGCACTAGCACTAGCATTAGCACTAGCACTTAGACTTACATACCACTTCACAGTGCTTTACAGCCCTCTCTAAGTGGTTTACAGAGTCAGCCTCTTGCCTCCAACAATCTGGATCCTCATTTTACCAACCTCGGAAGGATGGAAAGCTGAGTTGAGCCAGTGAGATTTGAACTGCTGAACTGCAGCTAGCAGTCAGCTGAAGTATATCTGATCTTTTGTTCAAAGTGCTGAAAAATATACAGTTATTTGGTATTTTGGAGTAGCATTTCCTATTGCCAAAAGCTCTATGGTCGAACCTGCTAATTTTGTGAAATATCCATTGAAGGGGTCCGAAAAATGGGGTTTTCATGTTAAATTACACATAAATGTCATATGGTTTTTTTTATCTCTTTCTTTTCCTCCAAATTTTAAGAGTAGAGAGAGGTTTTTCAAAGTTGAAAGTTAAGGAAAGAGAATTTATTTAGAACACCTGAATGTTTTAGACCATAGAATTGTAGAGATAGAAGGAACTTAGGAGATCTTTGAGTCCAACCCTCTGCTCAAGGCAAGAAATCTTATCCTTTTCCAGTCAAAAGGCTGTCCAGTCTATTTTTGAAAACTTCTAGTGTTGGAGCACCCACAACTATGAGAGGCATGTTATTCCACTGCTTAATAGTTTTTAGTATCAGAAAACCTCTCCTTACTTTTAGGTTGGCTCTTTATTTAACAAGCTTTCTCCTTTCCTAGAGGCTGATCATAGCCTGAAATCCAGGCACCTCAAGATCTGTGTGCCCATGTGTTTCCCTTAATAAAAATTCTAATCGAAGCATCTTTAAAAATTGCTATTAAATGGTAGGCTGTACTGTGGTTCAGAAGCAAAGTTTAAATAATGAATGCAAGGATGTGGTGATAGGAAGGTAGACGTTCTTTCTGACTCCTTCACAGAAATGTATTGTAGCAGGGGGGAGGAGGGAATAAAAAGACGGTTTGGGAGGAAGCGGGGGGGAGACAGAGGGAGTGCAAGGGAAGGAAGGAAGGGCTTGTTTGGGGAATGGAAAAAAGGGGGAAAAGGGGGAGGAAGAAGTGGAGAGTTTGGATGAGCCAAGCCTGATGGATGATAAGTGGATAGGATAGCAGAGGCTTTTGCAGGCCAAGCTTGAGAGAAATAAAGGGGATAGGAGAGCAGAGGCTTTTTGTGGGCCAAGCCTGAGACAAATAAAGGGAATAGGGTCAGACAGGAGAGCTGCAACTCTTCGCGACCTCACAGGGCACCCCTCTTTGCTTCACTGCCCCTACAAGGCAGCCTTAGCTCCTCTCGGAGCCCACAAACAGGGAGAATTCAGCACAGGGAACGCGGAGACCCGTTCCCTGTGTCTGATATCGCAGCGATGTCAACCAGAAGTCCACCCATTGCTTCTTGTCCTACCCTCAGATGCT